TACGTCACAGTGTGAGTGTTTTGTATGCTTTAGTGACACGGCTTTTTTTTTTTATCCTCCCCTGAGGACATTTTTCCATTTTTTGTTCAGGTAGAGTAGGAGGGAGAGAGAGGAAGAGAGAGAGGGAAACATCGACGTGAAAGGGACACATCGAGTGGCTGCCTCCTGCATGACCAACCAGGGTCAGGGACAAACTGCAACCGAGGTACGTGCCCTTAGCGGGAACCGAACCCGGGTCTCTCCGGACCGCAGGCCAAAACTCTAACTGCTGAGCCAAACCGGCCAGGGCAGTGATGCAGCTTTTAAAAAGAAAAAGGGAATTGACGCTGAGCAGTCGTGGGGAATGATTCACTGCTTCTCACCACGCAGTGTACAGGGTGGTCTGACACCTCGAAGTTACAGAACGAGAGGGGGTCCTTCCTCCTTCCCTCCCTCCCTCCCTTCTGCAGAGGTGTCTCAGCACCACCGACTGGGAGCAGCCCTGGTGAGGGTCACTTCCTCAAGGATTGCACTCTGTGGCAGGCTGAGAGATGGGAGGAACCACGAAGAGGCCATTATCCGGAATAAAGTGAAGAGGGGGTCCAGGCAAGGACAGGGTGTCACTGAGAAGTCATTTCAGCAGAGGCCCGAGGTCCGGAGAAGCTGGCCCTGGTGGGAACGGCGGAGACCACTGTCCGTCAGAGCGCCTGGGGTGGGGCGTGCTGCACCAGGAATGGAGAAAGAAGTGCGCCCAGAGGACACACGCGCTGAGGTCACAGCAGGTCAAGTTGAGGCTGGCGAGAGCCGGGCAGAGCCAGACTGCGCGGGGCCTCGTGGGTTATCACAAATCAGAGTTAAATTTTACCCCAAATGAATGGGCAGCCGCGGTGTTCTCAGGCACGCTCACCTTGCCTGTGACGCAGGGAGACGCAGATGCTGTGTAGATGGCTCCTGGGGGCAGGAGAAGTGGGGGGGGGCAGGTAAACAGGGAAGAGGCTTCCATTAAGACCGCGGCAGGGAAAATGGGGAGAAGGAGGAGGATTTAAGACGTTTTGGAGCTAGAAACCGACAGGCCTTTCTGATGGTCAGGAGCTGGGGAGGGCGGGGAGGAAGGTTCCCGAGGGCACTGCTCTCTGGAAGCTCTGCCCTGGGTCCGTAGGGAGCGAGGGGAGTTAGATTCTGCCTTTCCCTCTCTGCCTGGGCTCCGAGGAACATCTTCTGGAATTAGGAGATCGCAGACAGACCTTCTCGGCCACACACCTCCCTGAGCTGAGTCCGGAACAGACCGGGTAGGACTTTGTTGCCTAACATTCTGCATAAATGCCAGCAGATTTGGGGTCCGTGGATGTTGGGGGATCAGTGGGAGAACTGCCCAGGGTCTGCCCACCTCCAGCTGCCTCGGTCACGTTGGCCTGGGGGCCACATGAGCTGGATTACTCTGCTGTCTCCCCTCTGACACGTGGGGGCATTTCTGCAGAAATACCGCCATCGGGCCCAGGGGAGTTAGCCAGGTCACACCTGCTGACACTCGGAGTCTGCGTCTCCCGAGGGCCAGGCTCGCAGGGCCTGGGGCTGACTCACCCCTGGCTCGAAGTTGGCTCAGAAATGTCAAAGCTGTGTATTTCCACCAGAGGCCCCGACGTACGACAGCAAACCTGGGCTTTGAAACTAGGAAACCTGAAATGAGTACCCGGAGGCCTCCGCATTCTGGGGAAGGGACCTCTCTGACCCTCTGTTTCCTCTTCTCTACAATGATGATAATGATACCAACTCCATGTTGCTGTGGAGCTAATGCAGGAGAACAGCTTGGGAGAGGCCCAGGGATATGCACCCAGAGCTTTAGAGGGGGACGGGGCATGCGCCATTCCGGGCCATGCGGGCAGCTGGGGCAGCGCGGACACCAGTCAGAGGAACACACGTGTTTATCCAGTTTCATCACTCATCGGTTGGGGCAAGCCATTCCATTTTGCCGAGCCTGTTTATTCACCTGTAAAATGAGGTTAACAATGCTTACTTTGGTGAAGGTTCAATGAAGTGACATTTAGAGTATCTTAATAGGGTCTTAAAAAATAGTGGCTCTAATAAAAGAGTGTTTGCAAATGGAGCACGATTTCTGGGTCCCAACCTGCAGCCAAGGAGCCTGAGTGAAGCAGGAGCCTCTCCAAGGAGACCCAGTGAGCACTTGGGGACGTGGCTTTGGCTGGTCTGATGTCTGGTGTTTGGGGGTGGGGACAGTGGAAGGGAGAAGGACTGCTGGCCACAGCAGTCACGACCTCTGTTTGTTTAGGGATAAACTGAGGCCGGAGAGGGCCAAGGCCGCGGGGAGGGAGGATGAGAGGCCACAATCCTGCTCCCCAGCCCGCTGCCCCGGGCGCCATCCAGGCAGCAGACTCCCTGCTTCAGTAGCAGGGTGGGTGCTGAGCTCAGTGTTTCCTCAGCAGCATCCCGCTGCGTTGGCGGCTCTTGCACGTGGCAGGAGGCGCCCTGTTGCTGCTGGGGGACAGACGGGTGTAAAGGACCCAGAGATGAAAGCGCCCAGTGTCTCTTTTCAAGGCCTCCGTGAAGGCAGCGCTTGGGAGCAGACAGGGAGTCTCAGCACGGGAAGGTCAGGCTGTTTCCGAATTATCTGCAGATTAGGGGCTGTCTCGGCCCAGAAAGCCAAATGGGGAGGCTGTGATGCAGGGCGTGGGGGGTCTGGGGAAGCCGGATGTTGAGGCGGTTTAGAGTGCAGGCTTTAAAGACAGAACTGGGTCGGAGCCCAGCTTTGCCACTGTTAGCAAGTGACTCAACCTCTCTGAGCCTCGGATTACCCATCTGTAAAATGGGGCTAGCAGTGGAGGCTACTGGGTATGAGGCTAAAGAAGTTGATACATGTGCGGACGAAGAGTGGGCCTCCCGGAGCTCCATTTCATTCTGGGCAGCCCAGGTTCTGCAGACAGAACATTCTCCATGCGCCTCCTTTGTGAGCTCAGGGCCAGTGAGCATGACCTGTTTGAGTCCCTCATCGGCTCAAAGACAAGACTGTAGCCCAGTTCTGCCTGACTCCCAAGCCCACTGGTATTTCTATGCCCCCATCACCCCGCCCTGCTCCCCTTCGCCCCCACCCGTCCCCTCACCGCCCCCTCAACCTCACCTGCGAGCAGTGTCCAGTGCAGCTTTTGGGGCCCCGTGGGGTTTGGGTTTGCGTGGGTCACATGACTCTGGCAGTGCTCGCTCTGGGGCTGGGGGCCTGGTGACATGGTGTCCGTGTCAGGTGGGTGGGGTGGGACCTGGCTGAAGGGAATTCACTCATTCAGGAGCTTTCATCAGGAGTCAGTCAGACCGACAGCAATGTGACCTGCGGCCAGGCTCACACGGCCGTGTGTGTGAGAGCATGCGCCCCACGGCACAGCTGAGGAGTCGGGGTCTCGGCTGGGGCTCCACTCCTAAAGCGTCAGGCACTTCACGCATGTTGACTCTTAAGAGCCCAGCAACCCCCTGGTGCAGGTACTGTCATTCCCTCCATTGTACGGTGAGGACGGTGGCAGGGTCGTCACCGACTTGCTCCAAATCGCACCTGGAGGAAGTAGCGGGGCTGAGATGTGAACCTGGGTGGTCGGGCTGCAGACTCCGGGCTATTCCCAGGAGGCGGAAGGGTTTCAGGTTGGTGAGGAGGGGTCTGGATACATGGACATGGGGGAAGAAAGGGAGGAGGGACTGAGGCAGGGGCACGGCCTGAATGGTGGAAGACCCCTCCCAGGGCCCACCCCAGAGGCCAGAGAGAGACAAAAAGTGAGGCCTCCTCCCCTGGGGGATGGGAAGGAAAGATGTCTGAGCTCGTGTTGCCGTAACTAGTACTGCAGGTTGGGGCCTCAGCTCTGGAGCCTAGACGCCCAAGGTCAAGGTGTCTGCAGGGCTGGTTCCTCCGACGCTGCTCTTGGCTTGTAGATGGCCGTCTCCGCCTGTGTCCTCATGGTCTTCACTCTGTGTATCTGTGTCCTAAAGTCTTCTTATAAGGACACCAGTCAGATGGGATTAGGGTCCACTTCATTTTAAATTAATCTCCTCTTTAAAGACCCTAACTCTGGCCCTGCCAGTGTGGCTCAGTGGACTGAGCGTCATCTCATGGACTGAGAGGTCCCGGTTTGGTTCCGGGTCAGGGCACACACCCCCATTGCGGGCCAGTAGGGGGCGTGCAGGAGGCAGCCAACTGATGTGTTTCTCACATGGCTGTTTCTCTCTCTCCCTTCCTCTTGCTCTAAAAAAATAAATTAAAAACATATTTAAACACCCTAACAGTGATATTCTGAGGTATTGGGGGTGAGGGCTTAAACATATAAATTTGGGGGATACAGTCCCACCCATCACAGAAGAGGAGGGACGGTCAGGAGCTCATAGTAAGAGGGCAGAATTTTCTTAGGAGGGGAAGGTGCCTTTGATGAGAGACCAGGTGGCTTGCAGGGTCCAGACAGCCCCTGGAGGAGGTGACGGGCACTGAGTGGCACTGTACACTGACGAACCTCGGGAGCCTGTACCCTGCCTGCCGCACAGGAGATGCTCACCAACTCTCTGTGCAATGAACAAGGACAAACCCAGAGGTGCTGCGAGCCCATGGGGGTAGCAGGTCTGAGAAGAACCAGGAGGCCTGGCACATGCTGTACCTGGGAACTGAAGGGAGGGTTAGAGGTCACATACGGGAGCAGGCTGCTAGTTCCCCAGCAACTTCAGAGATGCTGACCAGGCAGAATGCAGGAGAAGTCTCCAGCCCACGCCCCACAGCCCTGAATGTGGACCTTGATGCAAATGAGGAGGGAGATTCTTGCCCTGGTGGCCAGCCCCCGCCTCGGTCCACACCCCTCTGCCTTCTCCCTCTCCCTGCTGTCAGAGGCCCATCCTTTCTTGGGTGCCGCAGCCTAGGCGGTGACAGTGCTCTGGGTCGTCAGTCTTGCACGCTTCCCCCCATCTTTTCTCAGAGCAGCCCACCGGCGGCACAGCCTCCTGAGCACACCTTCTCACTCTCCCTTCCAGAACCAGAGGCCGCGGCCATGCAGCTCCGCCTCCTCTTCTGCCTGGCGCTCCTGTGCCCGCAGGGGCTCAGCCTCCTCGCCCACCACCACCACTCCGGGAGGACAAGGAGGACAGTCCCGGAGCTGCCCGTCGTCACCACGGTGGCCTCTAGTAACAGGAACTTCACCTTCGACCTCTTCAGAGCCTTGGCGGCAGCCAGCCCCAACCAGAACATCTTCTTTTCTCCTCTGAGCATCTCCATGCTGCTGGCCATGATCTCGCTGGGGGCTCGGTCCAACACGAAGGCGCAGATCCTGGAGTGCCTGGGCCTTGGCCTCCAGGGTGGCCCGGGGGAGGAGGAGCTCCACCAAGCTTTCCACCGGCTGCTGCAGGAGCTGCGCCAGCCCCGGGAGGACCTCCAGCTGAGCCTCGGCAACGCCCTGTTCATCAAGCCCGAGGTGCACATCCTGGACTCCTTCCTGAGCACCATGAGGACGTTGTACCTGGCAGACACTTTTCCCACCAACTTCCAGAACCCCGAAGAGGCCCAGAAGCAGATCAATGATTATGTGGCAAAGCAAACTAAAGGCAAGATTGCGGACTTGGTCAAGAACCTCGACAGCTCCGAGATCATGGTTCTGGTGAATTACATTTTCTTTAAAGGTAAGGCCCTCGGGCTCCAACCTGAACTTTCTCGTTCTTTTCAGCTGCTTTTCTTGAAAGAACACTCGTTTCCTGCACACGGAAGGAGTGGGAATAGATTTAGTCTTTTCTGAGTGAAGCCGACAAACAGCCGCGGGTAGGAGGATGCCCTGTTACCGTGGGCAGGGATGCTCGAAGCCCCAGTGCCGTTTTCTCTGCCGGGGAAGAGCTCCTTCCTGACTTTGGGCCCTTGGGGACACCTGAAGTCACAGCTTCCACACAAGAGCTGAGGCACGAGTTGGTCATGGCCACTGTGCCAGAGAAACTGACACCATGACAGCTTGGGGCAGGACTAAACATCCGAGAAGGAGCTAAGAGGGTATTTCCCGGGCCACTCCCTCGCCCCCCGATCCTCGCCAACCTGGGGTCTATTTCCATAGCCACGAAATCCCAGGTCGAGAGCCTTTTCCTCTGAACCGTCTTCTGTTCCCTGGAGAGCGAATCCCCAGCTTTAGCTCCCCGACATTTCTTATAAGTCTCCCTCCTCATCTGCGCTCTCACGTCTGCTTCTAAAGCAGCGATTTCCAACCGGCGGGCCGCGAGAATGTTAGTGATTCGTTATACTGCCGTGCGGTGGGAACGGCTGAAAATCGCTCTCTGAAGATGGGCCCCTCGGCGCTCTACGGGGCCTGGCTGAGGATGGGAGGGGGTTAGGGAAGAGGGGAGCAGGGGGGAGGTGAGGAGAGCAGGGAAGGGAGAGAAAGAGGAGAAAACAGTTCAGTGGTAACCACCTACCCCTCCTTCCTATGGTCACAGATAGTGACTATCAAGTTTGGAATCCAAGATTTCTTGTCTCCAGCCCAGGGCTATTACCCTGACACCAGGCAGCAGAGGACCACTGTGAAATAAGTGAAGTGGGGTATTGGGGTGGGGTCGACATTTGATAACTATTAAGAAGGTGGTGCCCTGGCCGGTTTGGCTTAGCGGTTAGAGCGACGGCCCGTGGACCAGAGAGTCCCAGGTTCGGTTCCCGCTAAGGGCATGTACCTCGGTTGCAGTTTGTCTCCGGCCTCGGTTGGGGTCGTGTGGGTGGTAACCAGTCGATGTGTCTCTCTGTCATCGATGTTTCTTTCTCTCTTTTCTTCCCTCTTTCCCTCCTGCTCTATCCGAAGATCAATGCAAAATTATCCTCAGGTGAGGATAAAAAAACAACAACAAAAACAAGAAGGTGGAAATAATTTCTTATATCACTCTGATCAAATAATCCCACAGGAAGCAGGCAGAGCAGGAAGCATCATTGAAGACTTCCCAGTAGGGAAATCATGTATTTCCAGGAACCTTACAACCCTTTCTCCCAAACCTAGATCAACATCTAATACTGGGGAAAGAATGAGAAATAGAAGAACTCGCCCAGGTACAGGGTAGCTCTATCAGCCATCCATGTCTTTTACCCTCTCCACTTGGATATTTGATCTTCAGTTACAGCAGAGAATCAAATAAACATTAGGGGTTAAGGGCCTTTGAAGACATGAAAACCAATCTCCTTGTTTTGCAAATGTTGCAAAAAACCCACAAAAAGTTCTGGCATGGGCCCCCAAATGATAAAGGGGCCCAAGGGGTTCAACATTCACTGCTGCCAATGAGATTGCTCCCAAGAGGATGATCCCTGTTGAGCAGCTGAGGATTTCTCTTTTCTTGTCCCTGTTTATCTTTAGCTAAATGGGAGACACGCTTCAACCCCGAATACACCCAAAAGCAGGACTTCCACGTGACCCCAGAAACGGTGGTGCAGGTGCCCATGATGAGACGCGAGGACGGGTATTCCTTCCTCCTGGACAGCAACCTCAACTGCAAAGTTGTGGGGCTCCCCTACCAAGGAAATGCCACTGCTCTCTTCATTCTCCCCGACGAGGGCAGGATGGAGAAGGTGGAGGCTGGACTGAACCAGGAGACACTGAGGAAGTGGCTCAAGATGTTCACAAAGAGGTATCCTTCAGACGGCTCTGGGGCCAGCTTCACCCTCCACACCCCCAGGGAGGCACATGCGCCCTAGGGCCACTCAGTGGTGGTGGGAAGGACTCTGGAGCTCCCTCCAAGTCCAGAGGCATCAGGTGAAGTGATTGGGGCTGGAAGCCCGCTTCCCTGCTGGTGCCATGAGAGTGGGCAGTGACCTCTGGGTGGCCCAGGTCCAAGTCCAGAGTGAAGTGGGATCTACTCTAGATCAAGGGGCGAAAGGATCCTTATGAAGCTGAGGGGAGATGGGAGGAATATGAGCTAATGACCCGATGCTCTATAAGGGTCTAAGGAAGGTCCTTTTCTCTTTCCAGAAAGTTCCAGCTTTACCTTCCCAGGTTCTCCATTGAGGGCTCCTATCAGCTGGAGAAAGTCCTCCCCAAGCTAGGGATCAGAGACATCTTTACCTCCCACGCTGACCTGACTGGATTCACCAACCACTCTAACGTCCATGTGTCCGAGGTGAGCCCAGAACTCCTGAGCATCTGCTTTCAGAGACAGCTATTCTATTCTACTCTATCATTCTGTTCCAGGCCATGCCGTGCCATGCCCCTCTATTCCACATCCCATAGCCTCTCTCTTTCTCTCTCCTTTTTCTTCAAGAAGCAAAGGTTTCACTGTGTCTTATATCCTCTGTACAATGAGAAGCCATATCCAGCACTGCCTTGGGGGAAGGAGCCCTGTACTAAGCAATCAAAACTAAAATGCAGGTGGAAACTCCTTCACTCACTAGCTGCATGAGCTCCAACCAGGATTTGGCCTCTCTGGGCCTCCTTGCGCTCTATGAAACCAGAGAGCCGCACCCTCGCTGGGAGATGCCACAAGAACTCAGTGAAAGACACCAGCGCACGCGTGCCTGGGGCCCAGCAGCTGCGCAGCCGCGTCACTTCCCACCTGCTTCGAGGCTCAGCTGCAGAGCCTTTGACAGTGATGCTGCAGGTGGATGCTGTGCCATTTCTTGCGATGGCCTCTCCCAGCCCCTGGTGATTGGGTGGTTTCTGGTTTCTCTCCTGCAGATGGTGCACAAGGCCACAGTGGAGGTGGACGAGTCTGGAACCAAAGCGACTGCAGCCACGGAGATAGTGTTTACATTCAGGTCAGCCCATATAGGCTCTCGAATGATAATGTTCAACAGGCCCTTTCTGATGATGATTGTGGAGAACTCCAGGAACATCCTCTTCCTTGGCAAAGTGATCCGGCCCTCAGGTGGGGATCTCTCCTGAAGGGTCACCGGCCTCCGTAGTGAAAGGTGTGGGTGCTCTATGGCCATCTGTCCGCTGAGAGTTAGTGATTTACACAGGTTTAGTTGACTAACGAGACTTTTGCAAATAATAGTAGCAACGTTGATACCATGATGATTGTGTCTTTTCACACAATTGCAAGACACTGGTGCCTTGAAGAACCCTGGAGAACTTTCGGTCTTGCCCTCACCTTTCATCAGTGGAGATTAGCACTGAGGCCCAGAGAGTTTTATTGACTTGCCCAAGGTCACATAGCATGTTAATGGCAGAGAGAAGCCCAGAACCCAGGCCCCTGGTTCCCAGCCCAGTGCCATAAAGCTCCATAGGAAGATTGTTCCAGTGGTTATTTCCACCAGGAAGTGTATTTCCAATACCAGCTACCAGTTCATTAGGGTTCAGAAAGAACACTGGAATGGGAGTCTGGAATGGGGCTGTCCCAGCTAACCAGTTGTGTAACATTGGGGTAACACTGTCCCTCTCTGGACTCTGGTTTCTCCACGTATACAGTGAAGGATCAGGCCAAGGATTGAAGGATCCTTGAAATAATATAAAAAGGCTGGAGTGTCACTTGCCAATCGCAGCTGGTATCAATACATTTAAGTGACACATCTTTCAAGAAAAGCCAGTGGACAGCAGGGTGGAAATGGCACATCACAGGATTTCAGCATCCTGTGGATGAAGTTACAGTCTCATGGGCTTGGCTGGTGGCGGGAGGACGGAGGCCTGTTGCAAGTAGTAGAATATCATTTGAAGGAGCAGCTGACTAGCTGTGAATTGTAGTGTCAGTCATAACAATAAAGCATTTTGCAAACACTGGTGTCATTGTCCTGACGGAAGTAGCTCTGGGAATGAGGACATTAATAGCTGACCATGTTCCAGTCTCGGACTAGGCACTTCCCCTGGCTGGTTGCACTGCCCCTCACAATATCCGCTTTGAGGCAGGCGCTGTTACCCCCATTTTACAGATGGGGAAGGCGAGGCGTGCAACACCGCACAGCTCCTTAGGGTGGAGGCAGGACTGGACTGAACTGTGGCCCCAGGCCCACACAGTCGCCCTGTGTTCTGCTGCAGGGGACACATGGCCAGTAGGCAGAGGCCTGAGTCAGGTGCATCTTGGCCGTGAGCTCCCTTGTGATCCAGACAGACTCATTCTCCTTTGCAAAACCCACCGCACTGAAGAGAATCAGACACTTTGAAGAGTCAATGAATGAATGAGCAAATGAGCCCTTTGCTCGGTCTCTGACTGTCCCCTAAACTAGCTGCCCCCAACTCTGACCCCCTGAAGGTCTGCCCACCCCACCCTGCGTACATGTCCCTGGCTTGCCTTCCATGTGGCTGCTCCCACCACTCTGATCCCAGAGTCTGGACTGGATCACAGAAGGGTGCCCCTCAGAACTAACAAGAGTGGAACCCCAAGCTTTGACTATTCCCCAAAGTACTAAGCACCCACTATGTGCCAGCCGGAGGGGAACCCTTGCATCTGTGATTTATCTCATAAAGCCCTGAACAGCCCTGCAGGGCACATCAGTTGTACCCATTTTACAGAGGGGACCTAAGTGCGGGCCCAGAGCCCCACAGCTGATGACAATGAGAGGCCCTGGCTCCAGGACCCAGGTGTCACTGTCGGCTGATGGCTGTCCCCCAACCTGAACAGCTTGTCTGCATTTGTGATTCGAGCTCAAGACCACGTGCCAGGGTTGGGTGTCCTCATGGGGTCAGACCCGCTCCTGGGTGCCCTTCCCTTGCAAAATGTCCTGTCTGTTTTGGCAAGTATCTTTCTCATTGTTTACCCGGCCAGTCCAAGGTCAAGGGGAGGCTCTGCCTGTGTGACACGTGTAAGGCCAAGGTCCAACCTGTCTAAAGTTTACTGGGCAAATGGTCACAAAGCAGCTATTGTGTGCGAGATTGGGATGGGCTCCGGGTACCGACTCGGGAGCCCAAACTGCGTGTCATGCACGAAGCACCCTGCTGGGGGTCCTGGCGGGCTTGTAACCCAACTGTCTCACGATCCTGGGATGAACAAATAGTATAGCAGCGCAGAGAGAGAGAGAGAGGGAATGAACTCCTGGGGGTCGGGAGAACTTCTGTGGGGGAAGGGGCACTGAGCTGGTCTAGAAGGATAAGTAGGACTTTGACACAGCAGTTAGGGAACAGGGGCTCAGGAAAACATGGCACCGAGTGATCTGCCGTGTGTGCGGGAAATCACGGAGACCTCAGTCTGGACCAGTGTGTGTGGGGGGGTGAGGGGACAGTGCTTCCAGTGCAATGACAGGGACCCTGAACACAAGGATGCTGGTTTATCTGGTCTCTCATCCTGATTTCAGAGTAGTTTGGCCATCATGACACACCCTGAGCATCCCCGGGACCCCTTCTTGTCCCTCACTATTCCATCAGCACCTTAGTAGACATCTCCACTCAACCCTCCAGGGGGCGCCCACGTCCATCTACTGCTCCAGTGCCCCACTGTCTGCTCCTCCGAGTGCTCATCATCCCATCTGGAGAAAAGGTGATGCGCCTGTAGGTTGCCCGCATACAACATGACTGTCCCCCTCAGGACTGGGTGGTTTAACAACAAAAATGCATTTTCTCCCAGTCCTGGAGGCTGAGTCCAAGAGCGAGGTGTGGGCAGGGCTGGTTCCTTCTGAGGTGCCCCTCCTTGGCTTGCAGGCGGCTGTCTTCTCTCTGTGTCTTCTCATGGTCTCCAAGCACCTGTGTCAGACCTGCCTCAGCGCCCAACCTCCACCAGCTGCAATGGATTAGGGCCCACCTACTGATCTCATTAACATAACCGCTAGTTGAAGGCCCTGTCTCTGAATGTACTCACATTCTGGGTGGCTACGGTGGGGACTTCAACATATGAACTTGTGGGGAACACAATTTAGCCCGTAACAGTCACCCCATCTTGGAGGTCCTGCACCTACTGTCAAGTCCATTCTTGTTCTTAGGGGAACGCTTTGATTTCCCTCTCTGACCACGTAAACTCTCGGGACCCCCGTGTGGACCACTGACCCCTTCCCCACCGCCCCCTGCAGGGACCCAGACCTGAAAGAAGAGCTTTGGTCTCCAGGGCGAATGCTTCACGCCCCATGACAGTCATGCCCAGCCTACACCTCCTCCTCCATCCAAAGACCATTGCTGAGGGGCGCCCCAGGGGCTCAGCATGCAGCAGGCGCTGGTGAGCCAGCAGACACGGGCAATCACCAGGAAGCCAGCAAACAGACAGAACTGCAAACCGTGCCGAGGCTCCTCCTCAGGACTCTGGCCAGAGCTCCTCTCGGTGGAGCCCTCCTGACCCCCCAGAGCCACCTCGGGGCTCCCACCGCCCCCCACGCCCCCCTCCATCTCCTTGCACACCGTGCAGTCACCAGCCCTCTGTGTCTGTGTCTCTCGCGTGCCAGAAAGTCCGTGAGGGCCCAAACCATCTCTGTTCCCCAGTGCCCGGCACCGGCCTTGGCCCAAAGTGGGCTCTCGGCAAATGCTGGGTGAACGAATGGAAGGTGAGGGGTGTCTTCAGAAGGTCCCAGGCCTCTGCAAGTCCTCAGCCCACTGCCTAAGACCACCCTGTTGCCTGAGTATCAGCCCCGCTGTGCAGAGACAGCCTGAACACGCCCCGCAGGTGGGGTTGCTGAGCCCATGAAGTCACCCAGGTAGAGGCGACCTCCAGGTGATGAATCACTTTTCAGTGCCAGTGTGCCCAGGAAGTGCGGGGAGCCTTGTTTGCAAGTCGGGTAGCTCTCGCTGTAGGAAACAAGGGGGCCTGGGCAGCAGCCGCCCGGTGGCCGGAAGCCAACAGCCCTGGCCGCAGAGGGAGGGAAGGCAGTCTCCGGGCGGCAGGTGGAGGCTGCTGCGGTGTGGGGGGTGGAACAGGCCTGGGGAGGGAGGAGGGGCCGGTCCACCAGGGAGGGCCTGGAAGGCTTCCTGCCACATCGCTCGCAGCCTGGGGTCGAACCAGGACCGATTATCTGTGGTTGTGTCCAACTGAAGCCTGAGACAGAACGTTCCCGGGGGCCCTGGTTTCTAAAGGGAGGTGAAACCCTCTCTTCCCTTGGATCGCACTGAGGGGCCCGTGGACTCTGCAGGGACAGCTCTGCCGGAGGGGATGTGTGTGGGGCCCTGCAGGCTGGTGTCCCCGCTGCAGAGGGTAGGGCCAGACCACGAGGGCTTTTCTGGACCAGGGGGCTTCGAGCAGGAGGACGCCCTGCATGATCTGTATGCTTAAGAATATTGTGGAGACTGGGAAGGAAACAGACGGGCCAGGAAGGGGGCGGTGGCAGGGGGGAGGTGTGCAGAGTGCCCAGCGGTCCCTGCACCCAGAACAGTACGAGCCGAGCCGCTGGGACCAGAGTGTGCGTAGCAGAGACGAGAGTAGGGGGTGGGTTCCAGGAGGAGGAAGGTCCCATTCCACCCTGAAGGGGGCGAGGGGTGGCCCCAGCCCCTGGCTGAGCTGGGAGAGAGGGGCAGCTCTACTGAGAGGGGGCGGGGGGCGGGGAGCAGAGAACAGTGGGGGCTTGTTTAGGGCGTGATCAGTGTGAGGGGTCACGGGGGTGGCACTGGCATCACAGTTCTGGTTGCCGCACACCTGTGAATGTGAAGAGAGCTTCAGCAGCCCAGGTGAGAGGCGGGAGGTGACCCATGTGACAGAGTACGTGGCAGGAGAAGACCACCCTGCTGGGGGAGAGTGCAGAGTCCCTGTGGACTAGGGGGGTGTCTGAGGCCAGACAAGGCTGCCGGGGGTGGGGGCACAGAGGAAGTGGGGTTTTGAGGTCCTTCCTTCAACATAATCAGGTTAACAAAGAGCTCTGTAGCGCGCGGGTCCCTTCACACCCCCGGACCCCGAAAGTCAGAAACCTGCCGCGGCCCTCATGACTAAGAATCGGTACCACCGGGTCACAAGCCCGGTTCTCCGGACCACGTGCCAGGATCTCTCCAAAGGCTGGTACAAAGCGGGCAAAGCCTCAGGCTGGGGCCCAGACGCCGCCACC